ATATATATATATATATCTAGACATATTTTTATTATATATAACAAAATGATATTTTTTTGAATATGACTTTATCAAACGACGCAGTAGCGTCTCGACAATAGTAAAATGGAAAAGCAAGGCATGGTCTCTCAGGTTTCTCTCGTATCACTTCTACTTATTGCACTGTGTGCACCAGTTCAGAGAGTGCAGCAAAAAACAGACCTAACGACGAATAAAAGAACAGACTTAACCGGCGATGGTGGCGATGTGACGATTCAGAATCGTTGACTATTGCTGTGTACTGCTGTTATATTTACAGACGGATGTTACAGCGATATTTTAGAAGATAATTTCAATAAAACAAATGTGACGAGTGTAACGATCAGCTCTTGTTAGTGCAATATTTTTGCTGTCAAGGTGAAAAATAATAGCAGTTTTAGACTTGGAAAATTAGAATAATCACATATAGACTTTTCTAATTTTCACGTTATTGCGACAAATTATTTTGCCGTATTTCCATCTTTCAGTGCTAAACCTAACAATCATCCATAATTAAATGAATAATAAGCTTTGAATTATTACGAAAATTGTTTTTGGTCCGAAATAATCTAGTGTTTGTTCGAGATGGAGCAAGATGCGCAAGAAGAGGTTAGTTATGTACATTTCTTTATAATTTTAATTAAACGAAAAATCTTAAATTTTGAATTAAATAACAAAGTTTTAATGCTTGATGCAGAAATTAAAATTAAATAAATCAGTGATTTTTTTCTTTATTGTTTTATGGTAATTTTAAAGCATGTATACAATGTATAGGCTGCTCCTAATTAATTGTGATAAACTTAGGAGTGAATCTTTTCTCATTAAAGATTTGATTCTGAAACCATTCATCCAGATGTATTTCACTAAATTATTAGATATTAAAGTATTAATAAAATACTTGAATAAATTAATACATTTTTACTGCTTTATGTAAGATTCATGTTTTTTTGTTATGATTCTAGTTGCAATTTGTAGTAGATGACGTGAGTACCATTATCAAGGAAGCAATTGAAGTGTCAATAGGTGGCAATACTTATCAGCATAATAAAGTTAATCAATGGACTTCGAACGTGGTAGAGGCTTGCTTGGGCAATCTTACAAAATTACAGAAAGCCTATAAATATATCGGTAAGACTAAATTTTTATCTCAAGAAAGAGACTATATTAACATTGTCCTTTACATATGTTTTAAAATATTTTTTTTTACATCTCTTTGATATTGAAGTATATAATTTGATATTGAAGTATATAATTGCAGTGACTTGCACAATTATGCAGAAAAACGGAGCTGGACTTCATACTGCAAGTTCATGTTACTGGGATAATGCTACTGATGGCAGTTGCACAGTACGCTGGGAAAATAAAACTATGTATTGTATTGTATCTGTTTTTGGATTGGCTCTATAAATTTATGTCTGTGTAACAAATTTTGCGTTTGAAAAGAATTCAATATTTTGGCAATTATGAGGTATTGAGTAAATGCCATACTTTCGAAGATAAAACATTTTGTTCTTTCGATAAAACTTAATATTTTTGCAGAAATTGCAGAAATTAGGGAAATAGCAGAATATGACTATGCTTAAAAGTTACACAACGCAATGCTTAATATATGTAATATACTAAAATTGGACATGTATACACAAAATAGATTATGCTGAGATATATTTAACTTTCTTATATTTATTTTAACGAAGAATGATATTTATCTACAATTGTAACTTCTATAAAAAAATAAATGCAAGATTTATAATTCTTATATTATTGCACAATATAATTGTGCATGTTAGATGAAACAAGATATATTTAGATTCAGCAAATAATCCAAAATATATACAAAATGTTTCAAGGGACTTGTATAATAAACTTATAAAAAATACTTTTTTCTTATGTTATTTATTTTATGACAGAATAACATAAAACATATATTTTTAACTACTTAAATGATTATTAAAGAATGAATTTAAACAAGTTTATATATGTATAAGTTCTTAATTTATTGAATAATAATGAAGTAATTTTTTGATTATTATATTTATTCAATTATATTAAACATTTTGTATAATATTAGACTATTTGCCTTTGTGTAAATATAAATAAGTAATTAAATAGAATTAACGAATTATTAAATTAGATATTATTGGCATTGATTATGTCAGAATGGCGATAATAGAAGCATTGATTTTGTCGGCAAAATAAATAAAAATAAATTATTTAAGAAACGTTTTTTTTATACATAGAAAACGATTAAACATTAAGTTCATCACAGTTTACAGTTCTGTGGTCTGAGGTAGACTCTCATCATCGTCGCTTAGAATAATGTTATCATTTAAAAGAATTAAATTGTAATTTAATTTACTTCCAAATTCATCATCAATGTACATATCTTCGGTCGTATATTGGTTGCCTTGTATGTTCTGTAATAAAAATCAAGTAAACAATTAGTATACAAACATTTACTTGTTTACAAAAGTTAAAAATAGAATTTATAACAAATTTCAAATTATTATAATTTCAATTTAATCACAATTATTATGATTTGTGTATAAAATTTAAAATTGTTTCTTGTCTACTTACTTTTTTATTTAAAACAGTCCTTGGGGATGCATGTATCGTCAAATTATTCAGTTTTGCGGGTAGAGAACGCCTTCTTGGTGAATCTTTCAGTATAACACTACTCATAGGACGTATGTTAACATATTCTCTTTCTATTCTAATTTTTTGCGGGGTTGAGGTATTCCTGTTTGCAAATGTTATCTTACTTTGATCAGTTTTTTTCGTGAATTGTTGATTCTGTGATGTTTCAGATTCAATTGACGTTTTTGTAGTCGTAGAATTGAGCGTTTGACTATCTATGAAAGCTTGATTAAAGATTTGTTCGTGTTCTCCAGCAGCTTCGTTAACAGTTTTTATATTTTTAACTTCATCCATTGAAAGATCTAGAAAATTGTTGCTAGCTGTCGATTTTTCGATAACTTTGATCTCGTGATTGTCATTATATCTCGTTCCATAAAAGTTTTCAAATACAGTTTTGCATTCTTGTATATTACTTAGGTTTACTTTAGAAGGTGTTGTTGAACTTAATATTTCCGTGGCACGATCGAGAGCATTCTTTAAGTTTTGTATGGATTGATTTGAAGTGATTGAAATGTTTGCGGAAATGCTATCACTCATGTTTTTTAATGACTTTTTGTTATCTTCAGTACAATTACCTTTGATGATAATAAATAATTTATTTAGGAATGGAAAATTATATAAAATATATAAATAAAATTAATTTTATATTAATATTTAATATCACAAATTTTGAAAAATAAATTTTCTTAATTTTTCTTGATTTACCTTTCTCAATTATATATGTAGTATCAGCATTTTTTACATGTGGTGTGGAATATTGTACTTTATCATCATCAGTAATAGAGGTGTTGCAACAAATTGTTTGTTGCGATAGTAAGGAATCCTAGAAGTATAAAATAATAAAATAAATATACTTAAGAGTTTTGAAATAATATATAACTAATATAATATTAAAAATAATATTATGTACATACTTCACTGTATTCTTTACTGTTGCGTCCCATTCGTGATAAGCAAATTTCTTTTTCTTTTCTCCATAATGTTGACTCATAAAAACTTTTAGCATTAGAATGCAAAACTTGAGGTTGCATTATTGCATATTTAATACTGGAAGGCATACCCGTGTAAGGTGCCTGTAGGAGGAAAATAATTTATATGAATAAACTAATAAATATTACTATGTATATGTTTATATTCTGCGTATACATATTTCATATTTGTATATTACAATTAATATAAAAATATACTGTATATTTTAGACAAATATTGATTTATGCATCACTAATAAATTTTAATCGAAATAAGTACCTTTCGCCGTGGTGTACATAATTTTGAAATAGCTCCATTATATTCACTAGGAGACTTATTGCATTTAGGTTCTATAGCAGTTGTATGATTAGCTGGTTTACATGGTACATAATCAGGACTTTTTTCTTGTGACAATAATGAGCTTGTAGCTTTCGGATCTATACAAAATTATAAGAATAATTAAAATGCTACAAGATTTTGAAGTATAGAAAATAAAAAGAAATCTAAATTATATCCATTTGATATATTCTTCTCGATTGTCTCAATACAATTATTAACAATTTTGACATTTTTATTTCAATTTCATTAATATATAACGTCGCATTAAGTTAATTAAATTTGTAAAATAACTGTTTGCAACAGAGATATAGTATAACTATAAATGTAAATATGTTAAACACAAAAATATTAGTAAATATAAATATATTCAAAATTTATATATTAATTTTACTTACATGAGGTTGAATAAGAAAAGGTGGAGTCGCTTCCAAAGAAAAAGTCTTCTCTTCTACTGGCTATTAATTTTTTTAATCGTTTTATATTAGCACGTGCATCATTCCTTTCATCAAGATCTTGTACTATATTTGAAATTTCTGCACAACGAGTGCAAGGAGTGGTAGTCTCTATCTTAATCATGGGACTTACGACACTATCATTGATTACAGTCATTTTTTTCACATTATTTTTAGAATCCAAGTCTTCATTGCATTGCTCTTTCTTAGATTTGAGAAGTTGATTGGATATAGATTTTTTCTCTCCCATAGACTGACATGATTGTCCAGTAAATGGTTTTTTGGTCAACATCTTATTTTGCACGAGAGACATAGAAGAAGTCTTTTGATACAGTGTATCATTATATAAAAGATCATTATTATTTCTATTTTCATTTATAAACGTGTCATTCTTCTCTTCTTCTTCATATATCATCTTAAAAAAAAAATATATATAAGTAAAATTGTAATGCATTCTAGTGAACAAAGAACTTACTATACAAAAAATCAATAAATCGACAAAAGCTATGCAAATTCTAAAAATTATATTGCTAAATAATTGTATATTATATCAATTGTAAATTTACTAGCAGCCTATGAAGTTTTTTTCCTATTCTGTCCATGTCTAACATTATCATTGTCTCATCAGGATGCAATCCAGCCTCTAGTAAGCTACGGAGGATCGATGGGACATTCTGTAAGTTTATAACAATATCTCGTTTTCGCACCATGTGCTGTCGTTCTACATTTGATTGATCATATCCACTCCACGGTACATTTCCTATGGAATGTTTATATAATAATCATTATTAAATTACTATCAATTATTTAGTTCCTTTTGATGCAATTTT